GTTTTCCACTCCGTTTACGCGCCACGATTGTTTAGCATTTCGGAGCATCTACGGCCTGCTTTTTTTCCTTCTGCCTACGAATTTCATCATTTGAGAGGTATTCGTGATCGTGGCCTTGGTGGTTTGTAAATTACTTGGCTTGTATGAAACTAGCCAATCGTCATACCAGCTGGTGTGTTTCCCAATCTTACCATTGGTTGTCTTTGGTAGTGTGTGCGTTCAGAGTCGTGCGGCCGTCAGGCTACCTCGCTGAAACCCGTTCTTAGGCGACTTTGGATAGTCCGACGGGAGGCTGGGCTTAAGGCTCAATGACGAGCTGGTCCAGGTTGAGATCTCGGGTCAGATTGACGTAAGGTTTGGGGTACAACTGGTCAGTTGATTAGCGGTGGTCACGTACGTCTGCATAACAAGCGTTTTTACTCGCCCAGCCTTTCGGATTCAAACTTGATTCCCCCATCAGGTGTGAGTAGTGCTTTCACAAGTGTTGCAGTATTTACCGGGTGCAGTTACTGTGCCTGTGTAACTTGCGTTACATCTACTGCACTGTTTCTTCACCCTCCTGGGCCCGGTGGGAGATGTGCCTCGGTTCCCAACTGAGTGGGCGTGCCATGCATGCCGCATTAATAAAGACCCATTACGGCTTGACCCTGCATCCTGAGAGGAAGATGGAGTCATGCCGGCAGCTGGCAGTCTTTCAAGCCGCGACTTGTATCCCACCATGATAGATTCAGACGCGTCGGATTGTTTATAGGGAGCAGTATGTGCAGAGACAGTCGATCTCTCTCCCGCTCTTCCACCTCTGAGACGTCAGTCCAGTTTTTGAGCCCGTCAAACGTCTGATGTGGGGGTTTGGCCGCAGTGACTGACATTACAAGAAAGCTTGTCTGTGCGTGTAACATACACGACCATGCCCCTCCCTCACACGGAGACTTTCTGAAAAGGGAGCGGGAAACTTTCCTTGAAACCAAATCTAACCCCTTCAGCAGTCTTGTGTCAATTAGGGCTGCATGCACTCTTCTTCGGCCCTGAGAAGTGACCATTTTCTTAGAATTTTCCTGAGGTGATCCAAAGGACCCGGATAACTATCTTAGGCTCACCCTGCCACACCCTTTAAGGTGCTTTAAGGCTTTTGCTGTTACCCGGTTAGTAGGCCGGATGGAACAGGGAGGCTTTGAACATTTTGAGCGTCAAAGATCGTCCAGAAAACGCGTCTGTAGTACAGTCGAGAAGGTTTTAGGATGGTTTTTTTATGAAGCATTGCTCATTAGGCCCTCCCTGTAGTCATTTTCGGATGATCGAACACTTTTAGTGGTCTTAAATTATTACCCAGCCTGTTGCATTAAATGAGAAGGTATCCGCTTTCATAAATTTGACGGGTTTTTATCTACCTTCTATGTCTTCCATCATCACAACTGCAACTAAGCACAGTCTTGTTGTGACCTGCGTAGCTTCTGTATTGTCTAGCAACCTCCCGGACTGGTACAAGTCTGCCCTCTTCAACGAGCTCTACTACCTCTCGGATGGTGGCACAGTTTGGCTGGACCCGCTTCCGGCATCTGAGGCTGAGCCTCCGAGTGCCGCCAACCCTGCCAACCCACCACTACCCCTGCCGCCCATTGATTTGGTTCAGTCCCGAAATCCCAAGGTGATCCTAGACCCGGTGGGTCTGTCGGGTCGTAGGGCCGCCGCTCGAGAAGTCTGTGAAAGTAGCGAGGAGGAGCGCGGCAAGGTCAAGACGTTTCATGCGAGGGCTGCGCTCGGGAAGGAGATGGGCTTGTTTGGATACCTTGAGGGTGAGTATTCTCCTCCTTCCTCCCCTTCCTACTCCGCCTTCTTCTTTTTCTATATTTTCGCAAAGATTTCCCAGGCCACCCAAGAAAGACGACTGAGGTGACTTGGACACGTTCTTCGTCGTCGGCCCCACGAGCTCAGTGTTGCTGCCCTCGAACCGAAGCCGTTACCCCATTGGAGACGTCGAAGGGGATGGGGGGGGGAGGGGTCAGCTCAAAACCTAGGTCGACTCAGTCCGTCGGGAAGTGGTTTAGCCTCCGCCATTGGCGAAGAGAATGGACGGAATTGTCCAGGTTTGCTGCCACGGATCGTTGTACATGGAGAATTACCATCCGGGACATAAGTGGGGCGGGCTAGATTAGTCATGATCGTAACCGTAATATATACACGTATGACTTAAACAGATGTCAAATGACCGTATGCTGTGTGCTACCCAGCCTAGGCTCTTATGTTAAGTTTATTTACAATGGCTTCGGCTGCGTAAACCTATTTAGGTTAATAATTATGCAGTTTTGCATGGGCTTGTTTGGGTGTTTTTGTTCTGCACTTAATATTGCCTGTCGAAATTAAATTCCTACCATTGGCATGCTAAGTACTTGCCCGTCTGGAACGAATAGACTCTTCAATACAGCATAATATGAAGGATCGATAGCTTGAGAGGCTACCGACTGACGAATCATCAGCTTAGCCGCTTCATCCGCTCATTCTGCAGGTGCGAAACCTGATGGACGTGCGAACACGAACAGAATCACCGCCCTAGGACGGCAGCTTAGATCA